AGTTCAATAAAATTTTGAATGCGAGTCAACAAACGAGATGACATGGCCTTTCTCCTGTGACCTGTATCGAAAGGGTTAATACATTGATAGTTGTTTATTGTATTTAGAAACTATTCAATACATTTTGTACAACTGATGCGTAAAAAAACAAATTTTCTTCAGTTTAACTTTTCAAAATTGGGTGTGTGTTATATTTGGACAAATACAGTAGTTCAACACTATCTACATAATACTGTGAAATAGAAAAATGAACACCTTAACAACCTTTACATAAAATCATTTTATGAATTTAAGTTTGGTAGTTTGTATTAAAAATGCATAACTGATGTATACACAATGCATACTGTATGTTAATAAATGATCATTCTATAAAGAAATATTTAAATGTATTAATAAATCAATTTGGCATGATAGGTATAAATCAACTAGAATTATGAATTATCTTAAAGTATCTTAATAAGGTATATTTAGGCAACTGTGTATAAGAAACAAAGGCTTTAGCCTATACCTAATAAGTCTTATGGAAAGTAAACACGTCATAAGGGAGAGAATTGAAATTCATATTTGCTAAAAGAACAAATATGAAACATAATACTTTCGAAAACATTGGTGCAAGGTATTATTAACAAAAATAAACATAAGCACAGTGAGATAAGATTTTCAAACAGAAAAAATGATTAAACTGTAATTAATATTTTAGATGATTTTAAGCATGCAAATAAAATAAACTAGAAACACCATTTTAAAATGTTTTTTATAAACAGCATTTCCAAGCAAAATTTCCACAGATTCACAAACTAAGCTATTATATATATATATAGTAAACCAAATTATACATTTTTTTCAAGCATGAACTACATATTATGTAAAGCAGTGCACCAAAGATCGAGATAGCTTTGTGTGAGAGGAGGTGAGACAGTATTGAAACTTGATGATTTCATAAAGGGCATGTCATATGTTTTTGTTCATCATTATATATATCATATGACTTATTAGGCTGTGAAGTAGAAACATTCCAATCCAAAGGTGCGACTTATATGGTCCACTTATTATAATAGTTACTACTAGCTTAAACAACAACAAAAGTTTGTTGCATAGCGAACTTTTTATATATTCCCAACTTATAAATATTTGATTTACTAGAATAGCATTACTCAAACTGGGGGTTTGCAAGTCATGTCTGAAATTTCATAAATATTTCTAAAAAAGATGATTTATAGAATAAAAAAATGTTTTCATAAAATTAACTTGCGAATTAAAACGTTGAATTTTGGAATACAGCTTTTCACGTATATGGATTTTTTTGTTTTCGCTTGGGGTCCACAAAAAATTTTAAATTAAAAGGGGGTAACCCTCAAATTACTAATGATTGAGAAAACTGTAATAGACTATAGATAAAAGAAGTACACCCAGTAAGTTCATTTCATAACTTATTATTACTGACTTGTGACTATATAAAAAGTCAAGGAGGATGCAATATTTCTACAAAATAAATTTTAGCAAGCATAATTCTTTAGTAGCATAAACTAAATTAATTGCAAATTATTCTTTTCCCCATTAAAATACACAACTTCGATGAGAAAAGAAAGAATTCAAGAGTAATGTATGGGCCTAATTTACTCTTTATAACAAATCCTTGTAACTTAAGTTATCATATAACATCTAAGTTTATAGATTATACTATGGCAGCTCTAATGCCAAAATGTCTTAGAAATGAGAGTAATTCATAATGTGAATTATGTTTGGTTACATCTGTTGAAGTGAATATTAAATTATTATAACAGTAACACATTAGTAATACTATAAATAATATTTTTATTATTAGTGTTAATAAGTTACACTATAAATTCTATTATCAAGATCAAGTTAAACTTAAAACTTGTTTATTGTCGGATATACAGAGTATAACAATTAATGTATATGGTAACAAAGTTCCACCAGGTTAACCTGGCATCATCAGGTACAACTAATTCTTTAATCATGGCTGGAGACGGCTTAAATGGGTAATGAAGAAAAACTTTAATATAAGTTTAACATAACAGCAAATGTACAATGTTTCGACAAGGTTTTGTCATCATCAGGTCTCCAGCCATTATTAATCTGAAAGTGGGTTCCTCGTCATCGAATTTTAATTCTTTAATCATTTATTTTTATTAAGATCATGACTTATTCAAGTTATTGCTATTCTCAGACTTTAGACTTAGAGCTGTATAACTAGTATTAAAAATCTTACATAAAGGAAATTCTAAATATCAAAATTGTTTACAGTTATTATTATTACACAAATCTTAAGTTCATTGGCAACGAGTTTAGATTCGTAATGTAAAAAATAATCAAAACAGAGATGACGTGAACGATCACCAATAATTCGACTACAGCGACACTACACTTCAAATATTGGAAACTAGCTCATAACTTGGCAAGAGGCCAAAAACCCTCCGCCATTTCTAGAAAAGTAGTATCGTGATTTTAACATTGTTGAACAATAAACTGGAATCTTACCGTTAGATGATGCAATATTCGTACAAGACTTAGCTTGTTCTACTGAGAGTAAACTGTGGTGTTCTAAATCACCATTAGAAGTAATACTTTCCTCATTTTCCAACCTAGGTCTTTTATACACGGGAAAATCACATAGATTCGCACAACCTTCTGCCATTTTCGAAGTTATTTAAAAAAAAAAGTTAGGTTAAAACGCACGTACTTTGCGCATGATGACGTCAATGTTTCATCCGGGAATCTCTAAACTGACGCTCGAGGTTACTTCCCATTCGTATTATCACATTGAATAAGGGCAAAATAATTCTGAAGAAATATTTATACATATTACATTTTTCATATTATGCCTGTAAGATGAAACTAAATGCGAAGAACATAAGGTCATGTTAAAAAATGCTAGAATTACATATTATGTATAATCAAAGTAAGTTTGGTTAAAAACGTTTGTTAGAATAAGACTTACCATCTTTTAAATTATAATAAATAAGAACGTAATTTTTATCAACATTTTCTGTTGTAATTGTTTGGATACAAATGCCCCACCCTTTTAGAGAACATTTTAAACACATACACACAAACATATATATATCTATGTTAACATATCCTAAATAGTACCCTGCAAGTTTTTTTTTTTCAGAATTAATACTAATTCACGTGTTTTATAATTTGCACATAACCCTTATGCAACTTCCTATTAAAAAATTAGGGATGGAGTATTATAACATTGTACGATATGTTTAGTCCTAGATCTATGATTGGATTTTATACATTAAGAAGTACGGAATAATCTTCCAAGTTTAAGCGCAAATTACATTTTTGCACCGACGTACGTAATTTGTAATTTTTAACCTAGTATATAACAGTATATATGTTATATACTATGTATATGTACATATATTAAAATACCATATTTCAGAATGACTAGATAAATGCTTTATTTCTTCATTTAATGTAAGTACTTATGTGTAAGGTGGTTTCGTTTATTTTGTTTTTGCGAAAAGCCATACAATGGCTATCTTTGTTTTTGTCCACCGTGGAGAATCGAACAACATATTTTTAACATTATAAGTCTTTAAACTTACTACTGACCCACCGGGGGGATCGTCCACGGTGGATTTTTCAAACATTATTAATAATTCTAAATATTATGCTACCAGTGGAGTTGCAAATAAAAATACAAGATTTAAAATAAAAGATAAAAAGTAAGAACTAAAAGGGACGAAAACATATCCGAACTTATTATTTTAACAATAAAAGTGCTGGCTCTAATTTTTTAATACAATATTCTGTTTTTGCTTTCCTTTCTGTTTCAGGCCCGGCATGGCCAGGTGGTAAGGGCGCTCGACTCGCAATCCCACTATTCGTTGGTAAAAGAGTAGCCCAAGAGTTGGCGGTGGGTGGTGATGACTAGCTGCCTTCCCTCTTGTCTTACACTGCTAAATTAGGGACGGCTAGCGCAGATAGCCCTCGTGTAGCTTTGCACGAAATTCAAAACAAACAAACAAATATTTTTAACGTTTTAATTTAGATGTTACCTAGAAGGCGCATGACGTTACGATTTAGATGGGTGCATTAGTTTAAATATGAGTAAGCAGGTAGTGTCAGCATACCTGTAATTTAGTAAAGTATTCATAACTTAATACGAGAGTTCAGTTCAATTAAGTATTTATTTATTTTAGTGGTGAAAGAGAATCAAGAGAGGTAGTGAGTGATCGCATATATTTAGTGTTTATAATGTATTAAGTTAATCGGTCCGATAACAAAGAAATTCTGTTGAAAGTAAAAACGTTATTTATAAACTTTGATCTGCAACTGTGTACAGGTATTCTGCAGCAAACGTTAAGGAAGAAATATACTAATTTGTTATCATCACGTAAACTGAACTTCGCATTATTTGCACTAAATAATCCAAAAGAACCCACACAACGAAAGAACATGTCATAAGATCTGGTGACAGAAGTGGGATTATTTTGGGGAATATAAAATATGATATCACGAGGCGATATCGGAGAGTTATTAGAGTTAATGAAACACTTAAAAGAAAGTCATGAAGAGACAAATAGAAACTGACAGAAAGCACTGAAAAATGAGTTGAAAATGCAAAGTTTAAATCAATCACACTTATTTCGCGTCCATTCCAACATTCCAACCTAATACACTATTTAATACAAAATATATTCAATTGGAGTATTTGTTCTACACATATTAACACTACTGCTGTGTCACCTGTTATTGCAGAATCGTTCTAAGCTACTCCAGCCATTTCACAATAACTAAATACAGTTCGAAAACTTAGCTGGTCAATTCAACAACATTTCCAGATTGAAAAGCTGACAGACCACGATGGAAAGGTATCATGCAAGGCATTTACCCACTTTCAGTTTGATTTTTATGTTTATATTGTATCATTTTTGTATGCCGTGTCTGTTTATTCTACATTTATTTCATTTTAAGAATGATTTTTACGCTACAAGAATTGGTTGAGTTACAGCAACAATGATCCATGAACGTCATCTTGAACAGCTACAGCCAGGTCACACCATCACTGGCAGAATAAATAATGACAAAACATTTGAGTTATGGCAACAATGTTATATTGATATCTGCATATAACAATATATTAAACAGTTGATATCAACAATAATAAATGTTTCCATATTAATCCATGAACATACTTAAAGTAACAAACAGAAAATAATTCCAACCATTTTTCCGCTTGTAATTCTAGTATTAAACTTAACAAAGATCCCGATTAATGTTTAATGAAGACAGATATTATTAAGGAAATGTAGCAACTCTTAATTATTTATAATTCTTAAATAACAAAGTACACATCAAAAACGTAATTGGTTCTATTTCTATCTGAATGTAAAATATGAAGTTTTTGGAACACCTCACCTAGATGACTTCAATCACATATTCATGCACATTATCTGCTGAGTAAAGAAACTGATCTCAGGCTCCTTAAAAAGGTTTAGGACGATGTTGTTTGGATTGTTCCAGCTATAACACTTCAAAAGATCAACATCATACTTGTCTGATGTATTTTAAAAGTTATGGTTTAAACGCTGAAAGCCGGCAAATTATTGGAAAACTAATAGGCCTCAAAGTTGTTACAGAATAAATTAACTGCAGTTGTTGGTTTTTTTTCGACATTCCTCTTGATTTGTCCATTGCATCTCTAAATCAGAGATGTGTACATTTCAACATATATAACTTCATTTATGGTTAGAATAATATATTTGTAACACTTTGCAAAATACTCTTTTATGCATTGCATTTTATAAGACAACAGAACACCAGAAGATAAACGATGAGAGTGGATTATACAATGTTGTAGATCCAATATTGTTCTTGAAAATACCTACTCTATCATCAATCATACTCAATCGAATGGTCATTATTATGCATTGTTGCCTGACACAGCACTTTACATTGTAAGAAGCTTCTGTGAAGGACAATAAGGTCAGTCTTAGACCATTCATCTTGACAGACTTTCCAAAGACCCTCCATTGTGTGAGGACATCTGCTTCGAAAGTTAAAGACATAGAAATCAATTGGAAATGCATCAGAAACGAGATAAATATAAGGTCGAATGCTGTGATTGCAGTTCTTTTGCCATATTTCTCGTGAAAACATTCATTTCGAGATTTGGCCAGGAGCTTGTGAGCCTTCATCAATTTTAGATCCTTGTATATTTTTTGTTTTTTGCTTTAAGATGTGCCAGACTTCACCATAATGGCTTTTTTTTTGGCGCAGAGGGATTTCTTTTGTAGCTATTGTCTTTATCCTGTGGATGAGAACTTTGGTTTGGATTGTCTTGAGATGTGGTTTTGAAGCATATCTATAACACGGGATTATAATAATAAGTTCGGTCAACACATGCTGTTAGATTTCAAAGACGGGCTGCAGCCCATAAGTCGCTTTTCACAGCCATTGATACTAGGTGTTAGCAATTATGTTGCCTCGAGCGTTGAAAATAGGATGAGAAAAGTAACATAATCACTTGGAGTGAGGAATCCTCGCTATTAAATTTTTGTAATAATGTGGAGTGAGGAATTCCGCTACTCATCTTTTGGAATCATGTGGAATGTTGAACTTCGTGACTCACATTTTGCCTCTTAATAGTTTGACGACAATCTGGAGAATGATTTGGACATGAATGAGTTATCCCAACTGTAACATTGTGGTGGACGAGTTTTACTTGAGTTGGAAGTGACACACAGGTATTGTTTTAGTTGGATTGGAAGTGACATGTAACATTCAACAGAGCCATGAATTCGCTTGTGATATTCTAGACAACACTGTGGAATTATGCGGGAAAGTTAACACATTTTTAGCATCACAATGCACCATGTCACGTTGCACATACTGTCCGGCAGTGGTCTGAGTTGCCTTGGTCAGCTCAGATCACCTTGCTGGATCTGAAAAGAGCTGCTCTGAGATACTCGGAACGCCACACTAGGGTCACGTTTTGAATTCTCACTGAGCGTGAAGATGTCTTGCAAGAAAATTTCCGTTCTATATCATCAGACATGTTCCAAGTTCGTAACATTATAAGGTTGTATTTAGCGCCAAATGTTAGCCCACTCCCTGTTAAAATCAATCCTTGCGACAATACATGATACTAATTCTCAAGATGTGCTGTCTACCCCAATGCCCCCCCCCCCAGTGGCACAGCGTTATATTTGCGGAATTACAACGCTAGAATCCGGGTTTCGATACCCGTGGTGGGCAGAGCACAGATAGCTTATTGTATAGCTTTGTGCTTAATTACAAACAAACAAACTACCCCAATACTTTTATATCATATTTTTATGTACATAAATATTCCTGTTTGATTTCACTATATGTGACACTTGAATATGAGCAAAACGTAACACATGATGTGAAAAAAAATACATAAGATATAACATCAATATCTTTTAATTGTTTTGGTGTTTTCTTCATATTAGTGAGTGTTGGATATACAAGATTGTTTAGCTTAAGAGTTGTTATTTAGTATATTTAGTGATTTAATATTTAATGTTTATTTAGTTTTCATAACAAAAGTGTCATTTTAAAAGTGATAGTTATGACAATTTTCGTTACGTAACTCAGTAGGAGTCGTATGTAGTATATGCAGTTTAATTGTTGTACTAAGCTTTAGTAATATTG